ACATTGTACCTAAAATCCCGTACTTGTTCGACCCCCCCCCTCAAAGTCAGGAATTGCAAGGTTTTACTAAATTACGCATATGTCCTATATGGCTTATTCGATTACAATAATCTTCAATAAGTTGTATTCTTAATAAATTGTATATAATAAAGAGCTTGTACGTTTTTGTGATAAATCCAATATTCCCACCAAAATGCAATGAATAATTATGGAATCAAGCAATTTTTTACGCTGATATTTTAGTTATTCTGCCAAAGTTTTTTTTTTTTAACTCGTAGGATAAATAATTGAAATATACTTCCTCTAGAGGTTGTAGAGGATGAATTAATGAACACTTTCATATAATGAGTATAGGATTCCGACTTAGCCATGGGCAGTGGACGGCCCGACTAGACGTGAGTCCAAGACTCGGCGATGCTGTGTGCTTATAGTTTCTTCGTAAATCAATAGAAATAATTATTTAAGCTAATGGATAAAAATATTGTTCCAACAATCATAGATTGCCAGGTTCTAGGCGCAAGGCTCAGTGGCTTAGTCAGCTGTTGGCTATTCGCCCATTTATGACTTGTCATTTGAGTTCGGAGGTTACAAATAAAGGGTTCTTTACTGTACTGTGAGGTGAGTAATAAGCTTATGGTATAAAACATGGATTGATATGTGCAATGGGCATAGAACAATGATTCATACGTCCAATGATGTCCGTTGGTGGATTAACACATGGGTGAGGCATAACAGATAGCACGTTCCAGGAGTGGGTACATGGAACCTCATACTGTTTCCTTTCTGTTTACTTTCTAATAGCATTAGAAAATTATAAGGTTTACCAACAGGATGCAGCACTATTTTTTTGCATTTACGACAACAGCTAATTTGAACTAGCAGCAACAAAAAGCTGCGATACACAATGAGAACTGTCAAAGTAGAATTGTTCATTGTTGGTGTAGAAATGTTAATGTTTTAATTTGATAATTGGTGACAATCATACAACAGAGACACTTGATGTGTGTTTGAAAATGATGCAATTGAATACCACCAACAATAGACTATAGACAATACAAAGTATTTAAAATATATCAAATGGACAGAGGGTGTATACACTGCAGAGCATTAAAATGGAAATATTAGCCTGCTGGAATACTCTGTTTATTTCTTAAGATGTATATTATTATGGTTCACCATCGCAGGCGAAGCCGCGGGTAGGAAATAAACGTGACACTATTTTGGTAAAAATCCATGAAATTCGTATAATCTTTGTTCCAGGGGATGTACAAGGTGTTTTGAGACTAGTTCAGTCAATCACCGCTAGCTTTGCTACCGTCGAGCCTCGTGACAGTTCATCTAGGCTCCGCTAGATGTCTCTTAGGCCTATAATACTCAATCTACCATAGTCGATATATTACAACATTTTTTTACATTTAAAAAAACTGTATAAAAAATATAAAAACTTGGCTTTGGACAAAATACAGTACACTATACATTTTAAGTGATTTAATTTTCAATCTAAAGCTATTGTATTTGACAATAATACACTTTTATTAGTTGACACTCGCAGTGATTTTGTAGTATCCTTTAGATGACTAACCTTATTTAGTCCCAATCAGGCTCAACCACTAAGCACCAACCACTTGCGAGCGGCTACCGAGTACCGGCTACCCAATTAAAATTATATATTCTTTGAAAAGCCGAGAGTTGTGTTTCTTACTTGAGACCGACGATTGGCTTATAAATCTTATAATATAATAATAATAATAACCTCTCTAACTTACTAACACAGTGTCCTTAGTTACTTGTTTATTTAAACTTTTGAGATCGTAAACATGGACACGTGCTATTCAAAGCTTAATTTTTAAATGCACAAATTACAATATTCCACCAATCGAATTCGGGTTCCCTAGTTTTTGTTAAGATACGCCCAGACCTAGTTTAGTGAAAACTTACTATCGATAGTCACACTATCGATAGTTTTCGATAGTTTTTTAAAAACTATCGATACTATCGATAGTACTATCGATAGTCACTCAAATGGAATTTTAATGCATATAATATTGTATATATCCTGCCTGCATGAGTTTAAACAATGGTTTCTACCTAGTCGAAGATAAAGCTGTATCAGATTATTAATTTTAACAATTTATGAGTGACGCCCTGGAGCCCCCTTTATGTTTTTTTTTCCAAAATATTACAACATTTGTATAAAATAACAATAAGTTTTTTTAAGGGTTACAACAATAAAAAAAGAAAAATTCTCTTACTATTTTCTTTCTATTATTCACTACAAAAATATTTTTTTACTCACATAGCATAAATAATATATATATATATATATATATATATATATATATATATTTATGACAATCTAAAACCATAGATCAAAGGAAAATACCGTATACCGGTGTCTACTATGTATGCTAAAACCCACGAGGCAAATGTACCCATAAGTCCGGTAGTGAATTAGCAAATGCCCCCGCTTTCAAATGTTTGAGAAGGTAGCCTACTTGTCTACCAAAGCTTTTCTACAATGAATTAAAAAAAATAGTCTATAATATTAACTATAGGTATGCATTAACAGACAAACAATGAAATGTAAGAGTACCAGATAATGATTTCTTTACTTAATTTAACGTAAAAAAAACTATCGATAGTCTCATCGATAGTATAATACTATCGACCAACTATCGATATTTTCAAACTATCGATACTATCGATAGTACTATCGATAGTAAGTTTTCACTAACCTAGTTACGTAACTATCCTATACAACAATTACACATACAAGGCTATTGTAAACGAGTGATTTTTACCATCGACTGTTAAACGAACTAATGTGTTTTGGATTGCCAGGTTAAAATGTCCATGATAACACATTGTAAATCCACTGAAACTATATCTAGGTGTACAATAAAGTTGTCTGCTTGCAATATTGAGCGGAGCTAGCATATTAATCCAATACCTTTTCAAGTCTTAATGCCTTATCTGTTTCTCGTAAATTAGCTCTATACTTGCAGTATCCAAAGTCAATGGCATATATGATTCGCATATATTGTCAATGATAAGTAGGCATATTCGCGTAAATAATTTGTCTACTTGCAGTAACTAAAGTCAATGTTTCATCTGATTAACATAAATTAGATGTCTAACTGGGATGTTCTAATGGAACAATAACTATTCTTTAAAAACAATTGTATTCCACAGTAGAGTAATTATTTTAAAGGTTCGTTGTCTATGTATTGTGGGAAATAAACCCATATTACTTTTACTCAGCATATTAGAGCAATAGCTGTTTTGTAATACATTGAAATACATTCTCTAACTATACATCACAGAAACTGGAATGAGTTACTGTACCTGTTTCTTTTTTTATCTATTTGATCAAACATGCCTTATGACCTTGGACTAAGGTTGGCATTGCCATAAATCCACCTGTTTAATCATTAATTAATTAATCATTAATTAGAAGTTTCCTTAAAACTTACCTCTGCTTTTCGTTTTATAGTAAACAATTTGTTATTTAGAGGTCTGGAATATATTATCTTTAAAATAAAATCTGTTTTAGGTTTCTTTTAAGTTTCTTAGTAACCTTCACGGGTCCCTCCCCACGGAATTCGTTTGAAAACCTTCCAAATGATTTTCCAAATTGACAAGGGTAAAATAGGTTATACTCAATTTAGGTTAGGTTTATACTCAATGGTTGTACGTTTGTAAAGCAAAATGTCATCAATTTCTAATTTTTTTATTCAAGTAAATAATAATTCATATAAAATTATCATTTTATTTATGTGTTTCAAACTGAACTTAAGTTTTAAACAAATTCCAGTCCTGTATGGGACAAGACTGTCCATTGTAGGGTGTCAATTGAATTGACCACTTTAGTCCAATTGTGAACAATGTTGAGTATAGTCTTATCTAAATAAAGTTTCACATGACATAAATGATAGTTATATGTTGTAAATATCAACACTTAAAGTCACCTAAGTCAAGTAAAAATCCCGCTGTATAGCAAACCTGCAGACCAAGTAAATTTATTTTCCTGATAGGACTTTTACTAATAATGTTTATTCCCTAAAACGAGTACCTATAGGTTTGCTGTTACACAGAAGTTAATAAAGTGTGTTTCATAGTAAAAATGTTAATAACTTATAATAAAATTGACGAATTTGCCAAATTTGATAAAATACCATAAATAGTAGATCCATAAACAAGCAAACTACATCAGTATACCTAATATCTATAGGGAAAATTGTAATTTTAAATGTACAGTTTTTGGAATTTTCTCTGTAGCTATATTGAGAGTACAACACCACTCCATATTATTTGTTTTCATACAAGCTCTTCAAAATAGTTCAAAAGTAAATTAAAAATTTTAAGTTTTTAAAGTAAAAAATGGGAAACACCAATTCTTACAACATAAACCCATTAAAACCTCAGTGCCTTTGTCTAATATCATGCTGTTTCGTCACCTATCATGCTTACTGATAAATTTATATACAAATTAATAAATAATGTTTGGCCTCTGGAGATATTAAAATGAACAAGTAAGCGGTCCTGGGTCTTACTATGAGACCTTCGAAGGGGGATAGTTATTCCATAATGGGAATTGGGAAATTTGCTAAGAATAAAATCGCCTACTGTAACAATGTCAGAAAGTTTAAACAATTTATTTTGTATGAAAGATAAATTTAACACTGTAGTGTGTAAGGTACAAGAGCCCTTGTGCATGTGAAACCTGTCCTTTTGGCAAATCAGAGTCTAAAGGGGATTAAACAGGTGGAATAATTTATGATTGAATATCTGCAAATAGAATGAAACAGTTTTGCACATACTTTAATATTTACCAGAGACACTATCATTGCTATGAATGAACCAATTTACTATTTCCCCACTCAAGTTTCAAGGCAGAGAAGTGGGGAAGAGGAACAGTATCAGTAACTGTGATGGGCTGGTGGGAGGGGGGAAGGGGAAATTATATAATCCACTAAGGTCTATCAGTGGTTGGACCAGACTGTACAAGACCAGGTCCAGCAGTGTCCCCAGTAGATTCTGGTTCTAGTAGCTCCTTAGTCCTATCTCCTGTCAGTGGCTAGTATACAGGATGTTATGTAAGTTTGTTGTATAAGTGCTACATGTGCATTATGTGAAAATAGTGAATAGGTGAAAAACTCTACAGGTAAGTGTGGGATTGCTCCATTGTTGTCTATCTTTGTTTGTTCATGATAAGGAAATGTCTTCAGTTTGCTTTAAACATTCCATTTGAAACATAAAAAAAATAATGTTTAACATCCTTTATTGTAGAACTTCTTGCATTGTCTTCCATTCCAGATTTATAATAAACCATACTATTTTTATACTCTTATAGTGTGATAATACAACATTAACAAGTTTAAGGTTTTTATAAATTAATAATTTACAGAAACAAATTTGCAGAAGTGTAATATCTAGCTGGGTTGTTTTTATGAACTCTTTAGAGCTTCTGATTTCCTTCTAACAGTAGTTAATGCAATAAAAAACAAATAAATAAAGAAAAATTATTTGAAAAAAATTATGTTCCAAGATTTATTTTTACCTACGGATGAAATATTGTGGTTGAAAATTTACCATAAAATTTTTGTATCATTATATGACACGCAGTTTTAATAAGTTGTTAAAAAATTTTGTTGTTGTTTAATCCATGGGAAAACTGTGTTGAGTAAAGAATACAGCAAAAAGCTCATGAGGACACTAAAGGAAGTATATTTATGAATAAAATTCAGTACGGTAGATATTGAGCTTTAAATGCATAGGTAGCTGGTACCCTAAAAATATGGGAGTGCCCCCTTAGGAAAAATACATATGTTCAGGGGCAGCACTCCCATATTGCTAAGGGTTTAACATTTTATTAAAATCAAGCAGTTCAGTATATTTTATATTCAGCTTTAATTCATAACCTTTCTACAACAAGACTTACACATTTGGGGTGATTTTACTTCCTCGTTTTCACTAAAATCTCTCTAACCCGTTGAGTGATAACCAAACATAATTAATGGGAAACATGAGTAATAGGATAAAGTCTAAAGCTACATGGATAAAATTAGAGATAGCACAGCAAACACATGCACAAATATACTGTTATCACACTTGGCTAAGAGGCCAGATCATCTCAATTCTCAACCCACTCTATTATCTTGTTGAGTAATTGATAAATGGCTTTACACTTAGCTAGATCTAATAGCTAGCTAATCTAATGGCTTAGCTAGGGTCTTAGTTGTATCTAGGTTTTGTGTTTGATAGGAAAAACACCATAACACCTTATTGTGTGATTTGGATTCACTTAAGAGTGGGTTTGTGGATAACTTGTTTTGCCCATTGAAGTAGGGTGAGTATTTTGTTGAATTGATTTCATTTCCATCTACTTTTAATACATTAGATTTATTACCAATTTACAAATGGTGATGTGATCTTTGGATAGGGTAACTTTAGAAACATATTTTTATTTCTAAAACTTTTTTCTTCTAAAAATGGTCGGACTAGTGGGTTTACTACTTTACTCATGTAAATATAGGTTGTCTAGTTAAGTATCCAAAGTTATGCCATGATTCTATTTGGATAGATGCTTATAAAGTAGAGCATGTACTGAGGCATTTGAAGAACCACTAAGCAGCAAACAAAGAAACTGCAAATAATAATCACTAAACTTCAAAGATTAGGCTATATTTGAGCCATTACTAAACTGACTTTTCTAATGTGTAAGTTTGTGAGGATTGGAGCAATTAAAGGTTGTTTACATTTTAAGTTTTCATTAATTATGTTTTTCTAGAACGCCACACCCACAATGGCCGCCCAGTTGAGACATATATTCAAGAAGTACCCTCTCATCCCCAATGCCCTGGTGTATGGCTCAATGGTTGTTGGGGCGGAATTCTCACAACAAACACTCAACAAGAGATATTTTGTAAGTTTAACATGTAATATTCATATTTTTCCTGAGCACTGGTCATTCAATTCAATTCTTTGAGACAGCAACACACAGTGATAAATAGTTTAGGCTCAATATGAATGCAAGATGAGTGTGGAATAGAATGAGACCATTGGGATGACATGTGTAACTTATAACTGAAACTGTCTAAGATCAGCTGTTTCTTTAAGCTATGGTTCCACAGACTGCGGAATTTTCAATACAAAGTACGTATTTTATGCCAAGTATGAATGGAGATGAGTGTAGGATGAGTGGCGTGATCTTGTAGTCTTGTTAGTGACTAAGGCCGACATATTCCTTAGACACAGCTGTTAATTAATAGCCCATACAGCTAATGGCAACTAAGGGACCTACATCTGAACCACATTTTTGCCTTGGTACTTACGAATTGGTTGAATTATCAGGATAGTACTGCGGGTAGTCTAGTACCATAGACAATAGAGTAAATATAGACTGTCAAAGAAATGTTTTGCGATCTGCCGCTAGAGCGTTATCGCCGTTCGATATCGGTTACTGTATCGGTATTCGATTCGGTGTCGACCACGACTACTCGCCAGCTGTTACCAGCACTACCACTCTTGCAAATGAAATTATTACTATATCGCTAGTGTCGTCTTCTGCAATCACGTCAAAATCATGAACATCTCCCGCGGTTGTGTAGACATCATTATTGAATGCCGTGGTCACGAAACGTCATCGTCGTCCACGATTGCGGCAAAATTGTGAACATCTTCAGCGGCCTTGTAGACATTATCATTTTGCACGATCGCAGAAAAGACTTGATAATTTTTCCCGCGGTCACGAAAACGACGGCTAGCACGATCGTGGTTTAAGGACATTCTCCCGCGGTCGTGTATACATCATCATCGTTTTGCGCCGTCACGGAAACGTGATCGTTGTCTAGTGCGATCGAGAAAAAATCATGAAATTTTCCGACTTTGATATAAAAATAAAGACTAAATCCCAACTTTTCAAGACCATTTTGAAATTCAATACTAATACCTGACTTTCCCGTTTTCCCCGCATACTAGACACCCTGGTTAATTAGATTTTGCCATTGCAAATAATAATATAAAACAAAATCTTCCGGTAAACTCTTCTTCAGTAAACTCAAATTTCAGGGAATTCCTCCATAGTTGGCAACACTACTCCCAACTACCAGGTTGTTATGGAAACGGTCGCTAGCGCTTGATGAAGCAGCGGTGTGCGCCGTAACTACACATTACCCCTAGTGGTCGGCGCCGGAATATACGCTAACCGCAGCACAGCTGACAGTCTATATTTCTTTCTTTTTGTCTATGGTAGTACTCACTATAGTTCGGCCGCTTAGGAAGCGACCTCCTCCAGCATTGGTTTAGCATTAGCGCGCAGGTCGCAGGGCCGGTTCTAGGAATTTTTCAGAGTTAAGCGAACACCCGAATCAGCGCCACTTAGAATCCCCCCCACCACCCCACCCACAACCCATGAACATTACTTAACTCTATTTGTGAATTTTTTCCCGAAGATTTTGGGAAGAACTTTTTTATAAGTTTAGGTTAGAAGAATACTTGCAATAAAAGACTGTTTATTATTCCCAGGAATTTAACATTTTTACACTTTTACTCATCGTATAAACTTTAGCAAAACCAAGGCTACACTAAAAAAACAGGCCGTAATGCTCGTCAAGCATGACGTCACGATAGAAGACGGCAATGACGTAATGTTTGCCGTTTGTGATCAGCTGCTTGTTTTAATCTTTCCTTGGAAAATAAATAAATAAATACCTACGTCATTGCCGTCTTCTATCGTGACGTCATGCTTGACGAGCATCACGGCCTAAGTTAACAATTTATTTCTAAATGTGAAAACAATTTTTACGCCACACTACACTATTTTGACGAACTTCCCACACAAGGATTTAGTCCAGAAAACAGCTGTTTGCCGCCAGCTTAATCAAATGGGGTTTCATTGCGTACTACTGTATTGTAATGAGTTTTACCGGACACCAATCAGCTGATTACACTGAATTTGGGTGACAATGAGTGGTTATAAACATCAACATAACCTCTCTTAAAGGTTATGACTAGTGATTTTTAGTCCTTTAGTTGGTGGTAATATGTAAGGACTTGTACAGATTTGGTAGTATGGCGTAAACTATCGTACGTAACTTGTCCAAAATGTGTTAACCGGACTCGTATGGTAATCCCGTACAAATATATACAAAACAAATATTACAAATATAATGTTACAAATATATCCGAATACAAAATTATCAATTTGAACAGTTCAAAAGCTCAAAGCAGTTAAAAATTAATTTTCCTAGCTTTGATCTTGGCAAATTCTTTAATTGCAGAGTTGGTATCAATCTGGTTCAGAACATCAGAATGTGGTTCAGAACATGAGTCATGAAATGAAACCCACAGGCGCCGCGCTGTAGTACGCTGCCGAATGCCGAGCGTCAGTTCACTACAAATATACGCATTTTTCATATGCTGTTGGTACAAACAGAATAAATGCCTTATTGTGGTGCTTTGAATACTTGAACTTGAACTTGAGCAAAAATAAAAAAATTACGTTGTTCACTAAAAAAAAATTGTTCCGTTATGGCGCCACGGCGCCAATTTTTTGTGGCGCCATATGCGGCCGCTTAGTTCGCGTATGGGTTAAACCGGCCCTGGCAGGTCGTTTTCTAAGCGGCCGAACTATAGTGCAGGCATTAATCCACACCAGGGAGTATCGCATCCACAGTGCATACCTATAAATATCCACAATATTCTTGACCTCCTAGTAGCTGGATTACAGGATGACGCCCCCGTCCTAGTCTCCTTAATGAAGTTCAGCATCAGGTGGGTTTCTAACTGCAGAAAATCTCCAACTGCTACTTGGTGCATTCCCAAGCTCTTGGCTTTCTTTCGCCCAACTGCATTACGTTAAGCCCATAGATGTGCCAGGGTATCTCTTCCCCTGATTGACAAAAACGACATTCACTTTCCTGAACGATTTTTTCCTCAGATGACCTCTGAGCCTACAATGTTCAGTTAGAAAACCTGTTAATATTCTCAAAAAGTTCGTATTCAAGGGTAGGGTACTTTCTTGTGTCCCCCTTTTTCCCTATCTGGGCACCGGTTTGTCCTACGCTGCCGATGATCTCCTTTCATCCTCTTTCTTCCTGGTTTCTTCAGGTTCAATGCCTTGTTCTAAGAAGGGTAGGTACCAGCGGGTTCTTGCCCTACTCTGCCCTACCTATACTCTAAGAGGATTGCCCTTTCCACCAGGTTCTCCTGGTTTCGGGCAGTTCTTCAAAGGTCGGGGCATTTTACTTTCCTTTCCATTGACTTGCGGTACTAGCCTGCGTTCCCACAAGCTTTTCGCTAGGGATCTGAAGGCGACCTGGACAGACTTCCGCATGCCAAGGCAAGGCTGCTTACTGCAGGAGGAGCCGGGTATCCTGCAGGTACCGTTCAGACAACCATACAAAAGAGGCCTGGTGCCATCCACCCCTCAGCATGGTCCACCTAACACCTGGGGTTGGCCTATAACAGAAGAAGGAACAGGAAGGGGGCAGAAGTTGGGAGAAGAATAGATCAGTGATAGAAAGGAGAAGAAAACATAGTGAAAGGATACCCTGCTCAGTTGAAGATTAGGGAGTCAGGGAGGCTGATTTCAATGGCTAGCCACCAGGCGATGGGATCCCCAACACCTACGCCGTAATCTTTGTAACCAAGTTAAGCAGATAGGATGACTTATTTTAAGCTAAAACATATTTTCATGTAATTTCAACTATTTATTTCAGTTACAAAAACTAAGGAAGGTTCTAAAATTATAGACTGTGGCACACTCTAGGATTGGCTCATTCTTTTGTTATAAAATATTGGCTACGCTGGTCTCCATATATGGAATGTCGACTGCAGTATCCAAGAGCCAGCTTAGCTATAAACCTACCAGTTCAATCACCATGAAACCTACAAACTAATATTATTAGTAAATCAGCTGATCGCCCAATGCAAATCTTATGGAAATTACAAGTTACAAGTTGTAACTTGTAACTTGTAGTTTATTACTAGGTGTACAATGCAGTTGTCTGCTTGCAATATTGAGCGGAGCCAGCATATTCAATATCAATGATTTTTTTGCATTTTAAATAGAATGTCTATTTGCAGAGGTATCCAAAGTCAATCATAAGTCAGGATTAAGTGAATGAATCGTCTACTTGCAGGAACCGTATTCTATGTTTCATCTGGTTCTCATAAATTAAATGTCTACTTGCAGTATCCAATGCCAATGATATATTTGGTTCGCATAAATGGAATGCCTATTTACAGATTCTAAAGTCAATAGTACGTATGGTTCACGTAGACGGATTGTTTACTTGTAGTATCCAAACCCAATGGTACATGTAAATGAATAGTCTACTTGCAGTATCCTCAATAAATCAATGGTCCATTTATTTTGTTCACATAAATAAAATGCCTAATTGCAGTATCCGAAGTCAATGGTAGGCTTAGGCCTACTTCTGCTACACTTATATGGGATGTCTATGTGCAGTATTCAAAGTCAATGATACGTCGGGTTCAAGTCAACGAATTGTGTTATATTTGGTTCACATTAGTGGAATTCCTATTTGTAGACTGCAAATAGGAATTGAACATGTTCCAATCAGATAGATATTCAAAGTCTACATTAATTGCACGTCTTGCTCACATAAAATGCTGTAAGTTATTTACAGATTCCAAACGCAATATGGTGCATCAGCCTAATTCCGGCAACCCTTATTATTGGTTTAAGTCCTGTGGTCCGAATATTACCATTTCAGATTTATACCTTCCCATATGGTTGGTTACATGACTGTGCCAAATTTCCTGCAGATCGCCCAGGTGGAGCCTGACCTGTATTTGTAAAACAAAGGCAGTGAGTGTAGTATAAGAGCTTCGCTTCACTCCGCTCAATAATTTCGATACTGCAAATGAATCATGGTAGGCCTAAGCAATACCTGTATTATTAAAAGGCAATAACGATTATTATTATATTATTATTACCCATTGTATGTAGAATTTGCTTTTCTTTATTTTTTTCAATGTCTTCTTTCTTCATTATTAAAAAAAGAATCATTTATTTGTACAGAAGACTTATTTGCATTGAACATTCATAAAACTCACCAATTCAATTACCTCAATAACTGTTTACCAGTATTATTGTTGTGAGGGATTGGGGTTAGCCTCACTTAGTATAGGCCTATAACTTAGATCTAGTTTTATTTTAGCAGTTAAAAGTAAGAAATTGTCGTCAACCACTTTCAAAATTTCCCTATTGTGCAATAAAATTTATCAATACAAACTATTTTATTGTCTAAGTTACACCATTTAGTCTTAAACCTTACCTGTAAACCACGTGGTTGTGATTTCATTTCGTAAAACGATTTTGTATTTTTAGCTACAAGAACATTTTTTACAAAGTTTCTTGCAAATCAAGGGCGGTGTGATTTTTGTTGGTATAATTATGTTGTAGTGTTTTTTTAATGACCTCGTTTTATCTTCTCCTTCTCCAAGCAACATAAACTTAGGCCTAATTAGTTAACTATTCATTGTTGTTAAAAAGAACAGAACCATTTTACAATTAAATATAAACGGCATGGAGTTTATTCACTCAATATAGAACTGATTGTTAATCATTTCGTATTACATACAATATACTATAATATGCTCTTTAGTATTATCCAATTTTTTCTTTTGTACTGTATTTATCATGTGGTAGATTTGTTGACTAATGTTGAGGCTCTTGTTTACTTTTTAGTGTTTACTCGCAAATAATGACATGGCGACCAATTAACACATAAGGCCCATGTTAAATTTCCAAAAGTTTGCATTCATGTAGGGAAAAGTCCTATGGTCCGATTTGTACCGTTTCAGATTTATACCTTCCCATGGTTGGTTACTATGACTGTGTTAAATTTCATGCAGATCGCTTCAGCCGTTCAGGAGGAGTATTTGTAATAAAAAAGCAGGAGTGTAGTATAAGAGCTTCGCTCGCTTCGCTCGCTCCGCTCAATGAAATGGGCCCCTGGGGATACTGTTCTGCAGTCTGGAAAGGATTCTGTAGTATTCCCAATCTTCAAATTGCTCAAGGCTCTGTCAAGTGTCCATCAAACTGGAAAAGTTACCCTTGTGAGCATTTATAAAATCAATCGGTTTACATGGGAACGGTGAGAAAATTACAATCTTTCAAATGCTTCAGCACCCTTTAACTTACAGTGCCTAGTTACTGTTGTAAAAAACTATGACAACATTTTAGAGCTTACCAGTACATTACAATGGTACCAGGTACTTATTCATTCCTAAAAATGCACTACAATGTAAAATTTATTGCAGGCACCAAAAAAGCACAACCTAATTTTTCTGTTGAAATATAGGATTTTCATTTTATTTCATTATACACAACAATAATCCTGTGTATTGTTCAAAGGACAAGAAGGACCCTCCCGAGCCTTATGACACTGGAGCCCTCGCTAGGTATGCCGTGGTAGGAACCGTCATCAATCCTAATCTACTGTACTTCTGGTGAGTATTGCTGCTACTAACTGTATCTAAGACAGTTCTGTCACTTAAAAAATACCATTAAAATATTTACTTGAGGGCTAATAAAATGGTATAATCATTGCATTACAGTGGAATTGATAGTAAATAACAGGATTTCTTAGGAGAAAAATTGAGATAAGATGAGAAGAATCTTAGGAGAATCTTGCAAAGGGAAGATGTCAGATAGTATGTAGATCTCTTACAAGTTTCAATAAGAGTAATTGTCTTCAAAACCCTATACAAGACATCAAACATGCATTTTTTCAAAAACAACTGACTACAGAACACACATTCTTTCTCTTTCTATTACTGTATTTGATTCAAAATGTCTTGTTTGGGTGTCTAATCTGGAGACAGTTGCACAACAGTTAATAGGTGTCTTCCCATCGCCATCTCTTAGCAGCCTCCCTTTGTGCAATGAGTACAGAACCTTATAAGAAGCAAAACCGCCAGATTAAAAGAGGCGACGCTGCCAGCGGTAATTCGTGAAGATTTATGTAGGAAGCACTAGCGTCGCCAGCCAAGTCTTTCGTGAACTACCTCTGGTGGAAATCTTTGTAGTGTCGCCTCTTTTAATATGGCGGTTTCGCTTCTCAACAACTAGAAATTCATGTTGTCATTGTGTTGAAATATTTTAATCTATTAGTCCCTTCACAAATTTAGGTGGTTTGGGGAGAAGGTTTCCTGGGTCACCTAGGGATGGACGAGATTGGATTTTTAGTTCAAGACGAGACGAGACGAGATTTTTTATTTCTCATAAAATTTCGAGACGAGATCGAGACGGGATTTCCCTTCTCATACACAACGGGAAATGCACGTTCAGAATTTTTACCTGATTTTGTAACATTGTTAGATGACTGTTTAAATACAAAAATAATGATAATAGGCAAGAATATTTACAATCTGTTATTAAAAAACATCGGCATAACATTTTTTTATTAATCAAGCCTAACTTATTAAAAATGCCTACGATTAGGAAACATAGTGATATCAGTTAGGATAGAGTTAAACTTATCCTAAAATAAAATAAAATATTAATTTTTATAAAATAGTTACTGGTTTTGACTTTTTTTATAGTAATAAAACATTCCTCACACTGCTAACACTTAACAAAACTTCTCAAATGTTATTAAAATAATTAAAGTAATATTTACATTAAACATAAGAACGCCTTCGCAAAGGAAACGCAACTACAACACGGTCCTGTATTGCGGGTATTGCATTGACTTTCTGCAGGCGTGTTTTAATTTTTTTTTATTTTTTTTTTGCATTTTTTTTTCGTCTCGTGTAACGAGACTTAAAATTTCCCGAAAATTTCCCGAAATTTCAAGACTTGACCATCCCTACGGCATTTTTTTTAGATTAATTTATATATCAGCTGATCAGCTGGCTTTTGTTTCAAAGTTAGGGTGAAGAGAAAGGGGATGGAATCGCTTCCCATCAAACCGCCTAAATTTCTGAACAGAATATAATGGAATACCTAATTCATAGACAAATGAAAATCATGATATTCTCAACTGCCAATAGATTGGTCCTATGCCAATACCGGTACCATAGTCTTCACATCTCCGAATTCACAGGCCATTACATGCTACTTTTAAGGTTTATCTGTAGTCAATGCTTTAATTAAATTTTCTAACATTAATCATCATTTTAGTTCACTGTCACTTATTTAATAACAATGATTTGTTTTCTAGTTCATTGTCGCTTATTAAAAAACAATGTTTCATTTTTTAAATAAAATGGTTTATATTACCTGTCCGTCAATGATCCTATTGTTGTCGTCTTAGGCGACCGGTTTCAGGATAAAAATCCCATCATCAGGCTGTTAAAAAATGTCATGTCACTCAAACTGAGGTCGTCGGTAAACATATAAACACACACATACAACACGAAACACGAAAATACGGATTAACATTGCTAGCTACTGGCCAGTACAGGACACTACGACGCGGCACGGGTAGTTGCGTGGTCATGACTGCATGACATGACCACGCAACTACCCGTGCCGCGTCGTAGTGTCCTGTACTGGCCAGTAGCTAGCAATGTTAATCCGTATTTTCGTGTTTCGTGTTGTATGTGTGTGTTTATATGTTTACCGACGACCTCAATTTGAGTGACATGACATTTTTTAACAGCCTGATGATGGGATTTTTATCCTGAAACCGGTCGCCTAAGACGACAACAATAGGATCACTGACGGACAGGTAATATAAACCATTTTATTCTATAAGTGATCCTGGGCCACTAAGCATAATTTCATTTTTTGGTTTGTGTGTTTTTGTTTCAATGTGTTGTTACTAGGTTTAGAATTGGGAAACCCTAAAATAACAAAAACAATAAATAAAGAATATTTAAAGTTTCCTCAATATCTCATTATATAATGTAAGATTTAAAAAGACCCTGCAAAGCAACACCTTACAACAATACAATTAGTTGAAATTTATCACAATTTTAGTGCCACAAAATGATATGAAGTGAAGTCTTGATTATCCCACTTAACCGTTGCCCTGTTGAATAAGTGAAAACATTCTCAGTTGTCAAACCTTTTCAAGGCTTTGAATTTGTATCCTCTATTGAAAACACTGACTTCAGAAAATCGAGCTCCAGCCGAACTTTTACGACCGTGACAACATCGCAACCGTAAAACGCATCTGCGAGTATTACGCCCAAGCAAATTGAAAGATTCACGCTTTTCCCATGATTGCCGATATTGAAGAGAACATTCCCTTGTAGGAGATGTCCAATATTTTGCCGCAATTATGGAAGACAATAATGATGTCCACACTACAGCGGGAAAAGTGCAGGATTTTGCTAGGATAGTGGAAGACAATATTAATGTCTTTATGACCGTGAGAGATATTCAAGATTTCGACCCTATTGCAGAAGACGACGATGACTGTTCTTTTTCCGCGGGAGATATTTAGGATTTAGAGGCAATTGCGGTGATTGTGGGAGATGATGATGTTGTCTACTCTTGTCTTTATTTACAACACTACACAACCTCAGGAGGTGTCCTAGGTTCGGTTGCAATCAAGGTAGACGATGATGATGTTGACTATGAAGACATTCAGAGTTTTGTCGCGATACGCAATCATGGAAGACGATGATAACACCTCGATGCCTCAGGAGATGTGCCAAACCCGAGTGCAAACTTACGTGAAAAACCTATGATAATGTTTTTAAACATTATTGGGTGTGGGAGGCCCGGTGAACAAACATGTGCAGAGGCCCGCGTGTTCTTTTTGCTATAACTGACCACTTCTGATACTGCTACATATAAAATAAAGCGACATTCATTATTTCAGTCAGAGGTAACTGTTTGCATTGTAGCAAGGACGTTGCAAATACGTCAGGAGTATCAAATCGGTATGAGAAGTTAACAAACTGTGTAATTAATAGCACGCTTTGCTAAGATAATCAGAAAGTGTAGAAACATGTTGGCGACAACAGGGGTTGTTTTTTTGCTTGATACTACCACAGACAAAAAGAATTCAATATAGACCGTCAGCTATGCTGCGGTTACCATAGGTTCTGGCGCACACCGCTGGGAGCGCCATGTAGTTACGGCATACGCGCTACGTAAGAACATGGCGCTTGGTTTGTGTGCCAGAACCTAGGGCAATGCCCTGACGTCCTATATTTAATTCTTTATGTCTATGCCACCGCGAATGATGGAAAATTCTGATCCTTTCCTGTGCTCGTATGGACATTATCGTCTTGCGAGATCGCGGTGAAATTCTGATCATCCCTCGTGGCCTTGTAGACATTACTATTGTATCTCCAACAGTCCTGTAGACATTAATCGTCTCCTGCGGTCGTGAAGACATCGTAATCTTCTCCTGCGGTCGTGGCAAAATGTTAATCATATCTTGCAGTCATGTGGAGAGCATCAACATTGTCCACGATCGTGGCAAAATTCTGACTGTTTCCCGCAGTCATGTGGACATTATGGTTTTCTTGTGTGATAGCGGCAAAATTCTGATCATCCCTTGCGGCCGTGTGTAGAGATATCCCGCGGTCACGGAAACGTCACTATTGTCAAGCGAGATTGCGATAAATTAAAAATGCCAGGTAGAAATACAAAATTCACTCGAAATTCCCCGTTAAAGAAAAAAAACTCAAACATAATTCCCAGATTTCCTGGTCGGTCTACACCCTGTTATATATATTTCAAATGGGGGCGCTACTATTAATTGCACGCCTAGGGCGCTGACCGGGTCAAAAACAGGCGTGGGCGGGTTGGATGGTTTTAGTTAAAACATAAGCACTCTACACTCTAAACACAAGACCATTCAAGCAATATTGGTACTAAAATGGTTTCTCTCAGGCACCTTTATTTGGTTCTTACTAACTATCTGCAGAGAAAATATCGTTAAACTGATTCTGTTAGTTTCTCATTACATATGTACATGTATAATTTGTGTATGTGTTGTGGAGCTTGTACTAAACTAACACATAGACCCTGCAGGTATAGATGGCTGGACAGGGCATATGTAGGGACAGCCACTAAGATTGTGCTTAAGAAACTAGTCCTAGACCAATTCCTCATGACTCCTCCACTGCTAGTCACTTTTTACTTGAGTGAGTACTCGGATCATTTGTCTGCATGTTTTTGTAAAATGAATGGCATGAAATTAGTTATTTGCCCATAAAGCTAGATTTTGTGTGCACGATCAACAAAGTTTATTTGCAGGGATTCCTAGCATACAGGAGAGCTGATATATTCATTATATTCGTATAGTGGTGTGCATGACTAATTTATCTACCAACTTTGCAAGTCACCATAACTACTTTTAATCCATTGAACTCCATGTATTATTAAGTATTAAGGGTGTAGCATAGAGCACAAGGGCCTAGATTTTTAGGATTTTTTGAGAGGATAGCAGGCTTACCCGAATGGGAAAGAGTCCAAACTGGCACAGGAAACACAAAACTTTACACTATATACACGAAACATTAGAATATTTCACTGTCACTAACAGCATTTTCAACTAAGGAAGAGAGTATATTATTAAGTATTATTTGCCTATTATGATAATATCTTACCTCATCTTTTTTAAACCAAATTATACTGGTTCTGCTGATGTTTATGGGGAATGAATGCACTGTGATCTAAAGCGCCATCCCCACTATGCTGAATGGCACAGATCACCAAACGGCAAGTGTGGACGCATAGCGAGCTTGTGCTGATCAGCAATGCTGCTTGCCGATCCAAACCCACAGGTTGTTGGTGCAGATTAAAGGAAGCCAAGAGCTATGTTTGAGTGGGACGATCCAAGCGACAGACGTTCCCACTAAATACTTACCACACCTCTTAAAAAATCTGTTGACGTCACTCGAAAACACCCAGCATCAACTCTATATTCGAAGTTCAATATGCCAACATCATCCCGTTTTAAATAATTAAGTAGGTCTTTAGCACCTATTACGGCTTTTCAAACTGGGGCGAATCCAACATCTCCAGGATATCTTTTGCCGTTCTACCTGACAGCCTTAGTCACTAACAAGACTACAAGATTGCTCCACTCATCCTTCACTCATATTTGGGTTAAAATACGTGCATAGTGGTGTCTCCATCTTAAATAATTGATTGATTGAACTATTTTGATTTTACTAAACTCAAATGCATCAGTGTGCATAAGTTAGGTAAAAATAAAGTTGTCTTTACGAGCAATGAATCCAAATAATAACGTAATGAGTCTATCAATTAATTAACATCAGGGCTCTCTAAAAATCCGGTACTCTTGATCTAAATATAAAAATATAATAAAATGAATCAAATTGGAGGTTTAAATAATGTAACTCTCACATATTTTCAGAATGGAATGTGAAGAAACAAATTTTTGTTCACAAATTGTGCTCAATGTTTTACTGTCAAAACTATTTTAATGATCTGAAATAATAAATAATTGAAATTAATGTACAATGCTAATTTCACTATTAAAAAAACCAATCTATCTTGCTGCTTATGTAGGTTCCAATGGCTAGAAAACTACCTCCCAGGATCTTCATTGTCAGTTGTAGCCAAGAAACTTTTTCTGCACGCACTAATCCCAACACCTGGTATTCTAGTAATATTTTATGTCAGTAAGTAGACCAATAATGAAAAATGATTAAAATCTTAAAAACAACATTCTATCAAAGGCAATGTAAATTAAAATCCAACAAGTAATTAAATAAATGTGTAACCTCAAATTTTACTCCTCAAGAATGAATAATAATTACAAATGTATGAACTACTGTGGTAATAATTTTTACTAAATAGTTTCGCTTTCGATTTCTTTCTAAGAGTATTGCCACAGTAGAGATTAGACTTAAGCTGGATTTTAGTATAATCCTTTACATCAATTACCCTCTCTTAGTCAGCAATTTTCACAGTAAAGCCTAGTTGAATACCTGAATGGCTGCACCGAGGCTGAAAGAGATTTCTATCATAGAAATTTAAGCATTACCCAGAACTATATAGATTTTTGTTAAGCTTTGGTAACTAAAGTTTTATGATGATTTTTTTTTGTAATACAGAGGTATAGGACTCCATACGAGTGTCTAGGGGAAATAAATAATAATATTAAATAATAATTTCAAAGGTAGATTCAAAATAATTAAAACTTGCTATAGAAGGCTGAATTTCAACTGTACATATAAACAGCAGGTTCCAAATTTATACAGCCACTTTTAAAAAGAGCTCCTGCGGTGTAATAAAAGGTTTTCTAGCCACTCTGTGAATCCTCCAAGTTAAATTATTATTGCTAAAATAAGTTTTTTTTTTCATAAATAAAATTAATAGCATAGAACTTTTTACTTAGGTGCCTAGCGTTTGATCAACAGGTTGCTCAGTTGTCAAGCTATTTGACTGTAATTTTGAATTGAATGAATAAATACCAGAAACTGATGAGTCTACTATTTATTTGGTTGGCAATCCTGTTTGGATTATATTTTTTATGACACAGACACACCAGGGCATGTATTTCAATGTGAAGATGAGAGTTGAATAAATTTAAGCTTTGTTACTGGCTAAGATCCATTGGTTCTTTAGCTATAGCTCGGCCGCTTAGAAAACGACCTGCGCGCTTATGCTAAACCAATGCTGGAGGAGGTCGTTTTCTAAGCGGCCGAACTATAGGACCATCATTCATAAGTCCAATAGTCAAGAACAGCTGGGTTCGGTTACTCTTACGAAGAGAAAATCTTAAAATAATAACACTAAAAAAATTAATTTTGATTGTTTGACAAACTAAATCAAACCTATCGAATCCTGAAATGAGTCAAAACTTACTTCCACACCATTAGACTCTACAGTCATCATTATTTTTATCTATAAGAACAAATCCCAACCTGATAGTAGAAAAAATGATAAAAAATGTATTTTCAGGTATGAGCCTGATGGAGGGTAAGCAGGATATCTTCGAGGAGTGCAGACTCAAGTTTATACCAACATTTCAGACCAGCTGTATGTTCTGGTTACCAGCACAGCTGATCAACTTCATGCTGGTCCCTCCCATCGCCAGAGTCGTCTACGTAGGAACTTGCTCCTTCATCTGGATCAATGTGCTCTGCTGGATCAAACGCAAGTCTTACATCTCTGAGAAGGAGCAAGAGCAATCACAATCTCTGTGATTTCAGCTCAAATGTAATAATGTGGAGTTGTAAAACAGCCTGGGATTTCTAGAGGAGATCGTCTGTTAGAAACTCTGGAAACATTAGAAAATTGAGACCATTTTCATACACGCAACTTGGGTGCAAGAAAGCATGTAAAGAATGCTGAGGAAGCTTTTAGGGTTTTATTTTTGTCATGGAGTAGTTATATTTTTGTACACGCTGGCTTCTACTTCTCTAGGTTTTGTAAATGTAAACACACACTGTTGCTGTAATCTCAATGAGATAGACATATGAATTTCCAATGGTCTTACCATGAGACCTTTGATAATAGCTTTCCCTAAATGGAAAATTCACTAAAACATATTAAGTAAATAAATTAGCTTGATAAATTTAGTATTTTTCAAGGGTCTCAAGAACAGTAGACTTTCTGTTACCTGCAAAGATTGATGTTTAGATAGTAATGGTAATGTAATGGCAAAATCTCCCTGTACCATACTGTTAACTTGGTTGTTATGATAATAAGTGCCTACCATCTACCTTGTTATTGAGCTAAATTTTCTTCATATTTTTGTTTTGTGGCTACCGATGCTTCAGGCATAAGGTATAGTTCTTAACAATGCCTTTATTTTGTACTTCCATGTAGTCCTATTCTTCTTGCTTTCTAAAGGTGAAATATTTATCTTAGTGTTGATTCCACTAATTTTAGTAATAAAAGTTCACATTTTGTATAAGAAAAATAGAAGGTAAGTTTTTATTAAATCACAATCTGTAAGTAAACATAACAATTCAATAAGTAAACAAAATAATAATTTGAACACATGTTAGAAATAAAATGTAAATAAAACATATGCTAACACCTCCTCCTCTATTTACTGTGCTGCGGCACTTTACGAAGAATCAGCTGGTCAACATGTCTTCTTATTATTCGTCCATCTTCCAGCTGAACTACGTACATTACATGTCCTTGCTTTTGAGTTATATAGCCCGAATACCACTTGGACGAACCATTGACATATTCCCGCGCTTGCACTCTATCTCCAACTTTGAAATTCCTTTTTATACCGACTTGGACTCCCTTCTTCTGATATTTGTTCGGTTCTAATGTTGGAACAATTATTGATAGGTTTGTTCGTACACTCCTTCCAAACATTAGGTGATATGCTGATGTACCTGTTGAATTCGGGGATTGCCTGAGTTGCATTAGAAGTCTTTGGATTTTATTTTGCAGTGTACCCTTTTCTCCCTCCATGGATTTTAACGCCTTCTTGACAGTCTGCACGTACCTTTCAGCCTGGCCATTTGAGTTTGGATGGTATGGTGCCGTTGTTCTGTGAATAATCCCACATTCATTCATGAAGTTTTTGAACTCTTGAGAAACAAACTGTCTTCCATTATCTGAAACTAGGATGTGAGGAAACCCAAAAGTTGAGAAGATTTTCCGTAATTCTTGGACTGTCCATGTACTTGTAGTTGTTTTCGTCTGTATCACATCCACCCACTTACTAAAGGCATCCACTAATATCAGGTACTGTTGGCCATCTGTTGGTCCTAAGAAATCAATGTGCACCCTCTCCCATGGATTGGAAGGTTGTTCCCATGGATGGATAGTTTTCCTCGGGTTGTTGCATTTTTCAATGCATTGTCGACATTCAGCTACCATATCTTCAATATCCTTGTCTATACTTTTCCACCAGCAAAAACTGCGAGCTAAAGCCTTCATTTTTATTCCTCCTAAATGAGCTACGTGTAGTTCTCGAAGCACATGAGGTCTGAGAGATTGAGGTATCATGACTCTCCAGCCCTTCAGTACACAATCATCTTGAATGGACAGCTCGTTATCGTGAAATCCGTATTGTTCAACAGATTGTCCCGATTTCAAGGCCTGTAGGACTGGACCCAAAACAGCATCGTTGAGAGTTTCCTTAGCCACCACGGTACTGTTGATATTGAGTGTTTCCAGTTGATTTATGTGGTACTTCGAGAGGTCATCTACAGAATGTTCTTGTACAACTTCGATAGGGAATCGAGAGAGATAATCTGCATTGCAATGATGAGCAGTTTGCCTGTACTCTATGTCATAGTCGAACCCGGAGAGAAAGTGAGCATAGTTGAATATCCGTGTTGCCGAGATTGTTGGTAAGGTCTTTGCTGGATTAAAAATTGACACCAGCGGTTTGTGATCAGTGATCAAAGTAAATTTGCGGCCATAACAAAACGGGAAAAACTTTTTCAGGCCCCAATATATTCCCAAGGCTTCCTTATCGATTTGAGAGTATTTTTGTTCTGATTTTGATAAAGATCGAGAGGCGAAGGCAATTGGCCTGTCTGTTCCATCCCTATAGCGGTGCGAAAGAACGGCTCCTACACCTACCGGCGAAGCATCAGTAGCTAAGACCAGTGGCAAGCTAGGATCAAAGTGTACCAACACGTCATCACTTGTAATAATTTCTTTAATCTTCAGAAAACTCTGTTCACAAGCAGAGCTCCATGTAAAAGTGTTTCCTTTTCGTAGCAGCCGATTCAAAGGATGTAGCAGTGTAGCCATATTCTTTATGAATTTGTTGTAATAATTCTCAAGGCCTAGGAAAGTTCGGAGTTCAGTTACGTTCTCTGGTCTTTTACATTTTAAAATGCTCTGTATTTTAGCATCTGACTTGTGTAGTCCTTTGCTATCGATCACATGACCTAAGTACTCAATTTTGTTCTGGAAAAACTTACACTTCTCTCTATTTAACCTCAAATCATTTAACTTCAATCGTTCAAACACCTGTTCCAGTCGGCGAAGAAGCTGTTCCCTGTTAGATCCTTGGACAATTACGTCGTCAAAGAAACATTGTACGCCTTCTAAGTTATGTAATGTTTTGTCCATGAATCTTTGCCATAACAAGGGTGCCACTTTTACTCCAAACTGTTCTATTTCTTATTTAAATAAGAAATTAAAAGATCAAAAGAAACTAAACTGTTTTAATCAAGACACTAATACAAGAATAATATTATTATAGAAAAGTAAATAAAATCATATGGTTAAATATTAGTTAAATAAGCAGAGAGGTTAAACATCTTTCCCTTTGAGTTTCTTTTCAGAGTTTAGTCAGGAAAACGTTTCGTAGGTCTTATAATTCTGCCTCTTGATGATTGTTTTATTGCAGTTTCTTGATTGGGAGTAGTTGATCGTGAAAAAGGTTTACTTTTATCTTGAGTTATTCTAGATGGTGCAGTAGTTGTTCTTTCAGCAGTATTTGATAGGGAAGAGTTGTTTTGAGTAACAGTAGTAAATGGCAGAGGATCTGACGTTGTATCTTTGATGGATAAAGGAATAGGATTGTTCGGTTTGGTTGTATTACCTTTGTAAGGCAAAAGGTGGTGTCGATTCCTTCTCAACGTAGTGTTTCCTGTCTTAACCCAGTATGACCTTGGCTCTTGTCCTAAGCTGATAATAATACCATCTCTTTTTAGGTCTTGGATCCATACTTTCTTACCAACAGGCAGCGATGGAAGTTCTTTTGTAGCGTAGCGCCTATCGTAGTTTCTCTTGTAAGATGCTTTGTAAGTATCTTCTTTTTCCTTTAGTTGAGAGAGATCGGGTTTGATTTCAAGTTTTTTAGGTAAAACAGGCAGGTTATCTCGCAGTGATCTGTTGTATATTAGCTGAGCAGGACTGTATCCACTTGTGGATAGAGGTGTATTGCGGTAGGTTAGGAGGGCTAAATATGGGTCGTCTTTGTTTTTCTTTAGTACACTCTTCGCTATTTTGACTGCAGCTTCAGCTGCACCGTTACTTTGGTGGTAGCTTGGACTGCTTGTCACAAGTTTAAAGTTATAGCTTTGAGCAAACTTTTTGAATTCAGAGTTTTCAAGACCAGTGTATCTGGTAGCAAACTGTGTACCACAATCAGATCGTAGCTCAATTGGTATACCGTGACGGCAGAATACAGATTTGCATTTTTCGATTATTTCAGCAGTTGACAGGTTCTTTAATGTAGCTATTTCAAAATAACGTGAAAAACAGTCAGTGATTACTACGAACCATGTTCCTTCAAGTTTAAAGAGATCAATCGCTGCCTTTTCCCAAGGACGAGATGGAAGCTCACTGGGCAAAAGGGGTTCATGATGTTGTGTTCTATGTTCAGTACATTTGGGACAATCATTAACAAATTTCTCAATGTCAAGTGACATTCCTGGCCACCACATACTATTGTTGGCTCTAAGTCGACATTTCGTTATGCCTAGGTGGCCTGTATGTATTCTTGTCAACATTTCTTGTCTAAGAGTTGTCGGGATTATGAGACGTTCTCCTCTAAGCAATAGTCCGTCACAAAAAGAGATTTCATCCCGAACTGTGAAGTATGGCTTAAGATTATCGGAAATCTTAGTTTTATCAGGCCATTCAGTTGAGCAGTAAGATTTAATTACCCTGAGTTCTGAGCTAGCCCGCTGTGCCGATGCAATTCTATCAAGAACCATGTCAGTTACATAGGCAATGTTTCTTGTTACTGTGTGGATGGCCAGTTCAACTTCCTCATCTAAATCATAACTCTCATTAGCTGCTACAGGACTTCTTGAGAGACAATCAGCAGTGGCTAAATGTTTGCCAGGAGTGTATGTCACATTGTAGGAATATCTCATCAGACGAAGTCTTAGTCTTTGAAGACGGGGAGTCATATCATTGATCTCTTTAGTAGTCAAAATACTTACCAAAGGTTTGTGATCTGTTTCTAGCGTGATGTGCTTGCCCACAATGTAGTCTTTAAACTTGTCACAGCTCCATGTTAATGATAGAGCTTCTCGTTCAATGTTAGAGTAGTTTCGTTCAGTTTCGCTCAGAGTGCGTGAAATATAAGAAATAGGCTTCCAATTCCCATCTGATTGTTGTTGTAAAAGTACTCCACCCAGGCCTTGTGTAGAAGAGTCAGCAGAAATCATAGTCGGTTTATTTTTATCATAGAATGCAAGTTGAGGTGGAGAAGCCAATAATTCTTTCAATTCATCGAATGCTTTTTGTTGTTCACAACCCCAACACCATTCGTTTTTTCTACTTAGTAGGTCAGTAATGGGTTTTAGTAACCGACTTTTATTAGGTATGTATTTGCCAATGAAGTTCACCATACCAAGTAACCTTTGAACTCCTAAAATATCTGTTGGAGGAGCCATTTTTCGTATAGCTTCGACTTTGGTCTCATCGACTTTGATTTCTGATTCAGATAAATGGTGACCTAAGTAGGTTAGCGAGGTTTGAGAGAACAAGCATTTGTCTTTGTTTAGGGTGAAGCCAGCACCTTCAAGTTTGGTAAGTACTTCTTCTAAGAGATAGTCATGTTCTTGTTGAATTTTTGCCCCAAACAATTATGTCGTCCATATGCGCAAGTGCATTCATTTGACCTTTAAGGGTTCGATTCACGCATTCTTGGAACACTTCTGGTGCAGATGTTATTCCAAAGGGTAGTTTCAGAAATTTAAAACGTCCAAACGGTGTCAGGAACGTTGTCAAATCTTGGGATTCTTCGTCCAATGTGATCTGCCAGAATCCGTTATTAGCATCCAATTTAGAATAGCATTTTGCTTCTGAGATTTGGGCAAGTGTTATGTCGATGGGTTGAATAGGATAGTATCTTCGTTTGACGCATCTGTTTAATTTAGTAAGATCTACACAAATGCGAACTTTGTTAGAGTCCTTCTTTGGCACAACAACCATTGGAGAGCACCAGTCTGTGGCATGGTGTACCTCAGCGATCACCCCCATTGACACCATTCTTTCAAGCTCTTCTTTAGTAGATTCCCAAAGAGGAAGAGGAATCCGACGAGGCGTGTTGATTGCAAATGGATTGGCGTTATTTTTCAGTTCTACTTTGTATTTGACATCAATGGAACCTAAGCCTTCAAACAGTTTGGGGTGTCTGTCATACCAGTCATTACTGGATGGCTGTATTTCGTTGATTCGAGCAAGTAACTGCAAACTTGTTATTGCAGGTTTACCTAGAAGTGGCTGGGAAGTGCCCTTAGAAACATATATAGTCTCATAACATGTTTTTTGATTATGTGATAATTTTACAGTAGCAGTTCCTAAAATTGACAGAGCTTGACCATTTGCACCACTAAATGTTTTGGATGTGGGAGTGAGCCTGATTTTCTTATTCAGTTTAATGTCGGAAGGCAAAATCGTTACGTCTGCTCCTGTATCAATTTTGAAAAGAACATCATCACTGTCATTCATATTTAACACTACAGACCATGGATCATCACGCAAGTTTTTTCCTACAATGCCAATGAATGTTTGAGGGTCTATGTACTGCGAGCAAACATTTTCAATGGGTGTTTCAAGGTCAGTATCATCATATTCAATTTGACTGACTTTGTTTGATTTGCAAACATTTGGAAAATGACCAACTTTTTTACAAAACCCACATTTGTATTGTTTAGCTGGACAGTTGAATTTTTTGTGTAAAACTGTCGAACCACACCAAAAACATCTCTTTTCGACATGGGACAGGCTTTTATTGTCATTAATCCGCTTAAAATTTTGATCATTGTTTGATTTATTGGGAATAATGTTTGTCTTAATTAAATGTTGAGTATTTTTATTTATTAATGCTATGTCAGTCAAGTTAAGAGTTTGTTTCTGTCTTGATAGTTCTTCAGATCTACGGATAGTGTTTATAGCTGTGTTTAGTTTTAATTCGGGTTCAAGTTGAAGACGATCACTTAGTGTTTCGTCCCGCATACCAATAATCAAACCCATCAGAATCATCTCCTCTTCAATTTGACCCCAATCACAGTTTTTTGCATGATTGTGAAGGTCTGTGATAAAGTTCTCAATCGGCATGGAACCTTGTGTAAGTTTTAGAAACCTAGCCCGTTAAAAAATTAAGTTCTTTTTAGGAAGGAAATGATCGTCAAACTTCTGTATAACAGCTTTGAAATTAGATTTGTCATTGTCATTTAAACTGAATGAATTAAGTATGTCCTCTCCCTTTTCCCCCATACAGTAGATAAGCATGTCAATCTGATGCTTTCCAGAATGTAGAGCTAAATTACTAAGGGAATAATACCTCTCAAAACGAGTCTTCCATGTCTTCCAGTCCTGAGGGTTGAAGGAAAAGGCTTCAGGAGGCTTAATGTTTAGGGATACGGGTTCTTCATTCGACTGCGCCATGTTCTATTTCTTATTTAAATAAGAAATTAAAAGATCAAAAGAAACTAAACTGTTTTAATCAAGACACTAATACAAGAATAATATTATTATAGAAAAGTAAATAAAATCATATGGTTAAATATTAGTTAAATAAGCAGAGAGGTTAAACACAAACATTAATCTGTTCACTTTAAACAGCCCTTTGTGAGTACTGATTGTTTGCATGATGGCACTGTCTTCGTCCATCTCCATGTGCAAGTATGCGTTACTGATATCAAGAGTACAAAATATCTTTCCACAATGCATCTTTGACATGATATCATCAATCCGAGGTATAGGGTAATGTTCGTCTTTAATAACTTTGTTCAAAGTCACCTTGTAGTCAGCACATATTCTGACTGAACCATTGGGTTTGA